TACTAGAATAGTTTTGCTTTATTTATAATATAATTTTTATAGACTCAAAACACACCAACTTTCTTTGTTTTTTATTTTCCTCCTTTTTTTTTCTCTTTTCTTTTTTCTTTACTTTCCCTTTAGTTTGGTTTTAATTATCAAAAAACTCCTCTAAAGTCTTATATAGCTTCTTTGTATTGTCAACAGAACCTTCTTTCAGTTTCCATCTTCTCTTCTGTTTGGTATAAATATCTTAGCTTTTTCCCATTCATTGATAGCTGTACATCTACGCTTCTAGATATTCTCGTAAAAAAAATTTTATGCTAGATTTACTGCAGTTTTTAAATAGTCCTATGCTTCTTTTAGCAGTTTTATAATAGCGAGAAGTTTTCTAAAGACCTCTTCCTAGATTAAGCCTTTAAGAATACTAGATCTTGTTCTAATTCTTTCTTCTCTACATCAGAAAATTTTATATAGAGATATATATCGATTAATAACTCACTAGATATATATCGATAGCAATCACCCCTGCTAGGTTATATCGATTGTAGTATGTAACATAAATAATCGGTTTTAAGGCAATTGATATATATCAATATAGATATCGATTGATATATAATAGGTTTAAACAAGTAATTTTTTTTAATAAATGATACTATGAAATTTATATAATACGTAATTTTATAAACACTATATATCAGTAAATTCATTATAAAGTGATATATAATCATATTACATTGTATATATTATCATACTACATATAGTGCAAATACATAATTTTATTACAGATTATGAATTTAATACATAATAAATTGCTAGCAATTAATTCAAAAAAATATATTTGAAGCAAAAAACATTAATTGCAACCAAATAATTCATCAGCTTCTCTTGAGAGAGTCTTATTTGATGCTGAGATGAGAATAAATCAGCATGTTAAAATGGTAAAGGTTCAGCTTCGGGTTTAGTTTTATAATGGGGTGATGCTTGTCTTAAACTACCACCACAACACATATTTTTATTGTTTAATATTGCTTTGGCTAAATCATACAATGAACCACCATTACCGAAATCATTCTATATTAACAATGATAAAAAAATAATACTTAATAATAATTAATAGTAATACAAATTAATAATAATTATACTTACAAGGTATCTTTCGATATAATGAATAAGATATTTTTCTGTACACATGATGCTTTTGGACTGCTGATTTAGTAAACGATGAGCATAAAGGCGCAATACTCATTGGAGCATTCAGGTATAGCAACCTCAGTGAAGGCTGATCTCACAATTATAGATACCCAAAAAACACTATTATTTCAAATAGCGCATGAAAACAATCAGGAACTTCTTCACTTTGTTTCTAACTTAAAATATTAGCTAGTGCAGTGTTTTGCTTTAACGGTAGCAATTATTTGCACCTGAATACACACCATACTGCTGCCCTTATATTTTGAACTGATGTACCTCAAAGGTTTTTTATTTTCTGCAATAACTAGTTCTGAAAATAATAAAAATCAAAAGTGAAAGAAGCATAAATATTAACAAAATAAAACAAAAAAAATTGATAGATATCGATACATACAGGGCTGAACTATTCTTCATGAAACCTATTAGTATATTGGTTAAAGCTTAGATTATATATAAATTCAGAGAACTTCTCTTCAAGACATTGCCGAAGAGCATCCTTCAAATTATTTTGGCCAGGATATATATGGCTTGGAAAGAGCTGCTTTATCACACAAGTAAACATGTTCTATAATATATATATATTTTTATCTTTCAGCACAAATCAATACGCTATATACTGCTAGAACCTAAATTTATATAGCAGATTTGTTGCAAAGATAAAAAACAAAAACATTTACATCTATCAATTATGTAAAGAGATCATTCTTTCTTTCTTCATGTTGCTTTTCCAATCACTTTAGCCTGGCTTTTATTTAGTTCATACTTTTGTCAAGCCTTTTAAGCATTAAGTACAACTGCTTAAGTTGAGCGAACATTTACTCATCAACTTGCTGGCAGTAATTGTTATGATGGTTTGCTTAATTATATATATATATATATAAAAATGTAAAAAAAAAAAATGTAAAAAAAAATATATATATATAAAAAAAAAAAAAAAAGAATCTAAAAATTGTCAAAAAAAAAAAGCCTTATATATATACCATGTCGATTGTGTGTACAGTTTTGATTTGCTGATCTTCTATCACTATCACATGATAGAGATCTATCTCGTGATAATTGTTTTGAAGAATATCGTTAAGATGGGGATAATAATCAATCATGATCACTATATCGAGATGTAGGGCAAGATCTAGATTCATGGCGAGATCCAGATTCTTGGTGAGATCTAGATTTACGGTAGATGTAAATTTATTTTGAGAAGTGGATGAAGGCTGGTGAGATATAGATTCAGGATGGGAGAGGGTAAAGGATAGTTGGCATAATTGATATCTATCACTTATATTTGAAAATATTCGTTGAATACTTCTAACGCTTCTAGAGATAGAATTATAAAAAGAACTATCATCGTTAGAATTGGGTGGTTGATGAAGTTTAGCAATTTCATTATTATCAGGGTTTAAAAGTCAGAAGATATTAGATTGGGAACAAGTAACAGGTCTTGCAGGATATGGTGGTGTATTATTTCCGGTTGTGTTTTCCATTTTTCAAAATTTGTTTATCAAAATTTTTTTATCGTTACTTTTTGTGTTAAGCCTGTGTATTTACATTTAATAAAACTATTGCACAAGTTAAAATAAATTAATATCTAACGATGTTAACCACTTATAATAAAAAAAGATATAATAATCCAAGAATACTTATTTATATAAAATTTACTTACGTAATTAAATTTAAAGTATAATAATATAAGAATACTTATTTATATAAAAATTTACACATGTTATTAAATATAATGTATCTAAGATTTAAAAAACTATTTTAAAAAATTAATAACCGATATTGTGATTTTATTCTCTCTGCTAATAGTTGAGGTCAGGATTGCTTTTAGAACAGAGATCGGACCAGTCAGACTGTACTGAACCGATCCATCCCTATATATAGTGTGTAGTTCAGATAAGTTACACAATACTACCAGCTTTATGCAAAATTATGCCTGCTATAATATCAATATATATTGAACTATAAATATTGTATATACACCATTATTTTTAATAAGGTATTTATGAAGGCTGGTCCAAACTGGTATCAGGATGGGACCAGTTAACTATAAGATTAGTTAAAAAGACCAATCTTTTCAGGACCTAATATTAAATATAAACGTTATATTATCTATACTATCATTTTATCTCTATTGCTTCTATATATATTAGATATTTAATTACTAATATAATGATAAATCACTTTGGTTCATTTGTAATTAATAATCATAACAAAAGAAACCTTTACAATATTCTATTTCTGTTAATATTTTGAACAAAATAACAAGTTGTACTATGATTGCTAATAATATTACTTGCAATTTATAGAGGTTGGTTTATCAATCTGTATCAATCATATTAAAAGTTTGGGATTTTAATATAATAAAGATAATTTACTAGTTTAAATAGATTATATAATATATCAATGATCAATTTTTGTAATTAAATTAATT